TATATATATATTTCAATATCAGGCCAAAAGGGGGTAAAAATGTAACAATTTCAAAAACTTCCTTTGATTATTTTGGACACAAATTTGCAAAAACACCAATAGTTGATTCTGTCTACATTATAAGTGAAAATAAACTGCATCACCCTGCTGAGAAAACATAAAGGAAAGCTGAACAACGAACCACTGTTCACTTTATTTGTCTTGTTTTTGCCTTTGGTCAGAGTCGAGAAACTCAATTCCCCAGACTTTTCATTTTCCAGTCAGCTCTGGGCGCAGTATCGCTTACCTGCGAGTGAACTCCTGGATACCTGCAGATCAGCTGCAGCCTGTCTGCTCTCATTCCAGCTGGTATCCTCAAGTTGTCAAAAATTCGAGCAGCTTCTTTATTAGAAGTTATCTGCACAACATTAATGAATGATGAGCCTGAAACTGACAGGTGGAGTTTTTTTGAGCTACCTTAGCAGCAGGGAAAATTCCTCACTTACTGAAGCCTTTGTGGTTGAAGGTCTTGTTCTTTGAAGGAAAAGAAGCTTGTAACACAGCAGGATTTCTTTCATGGCAAATACATTAGCGGACGGACAATGGGGGGTCAGTGATCTGGTGTTTGGCTTGTAACAGAGACGCACAACGTGCTCGCTGAAAGAATTAAAAGCGTGCCCGATGTTTGCCAGCTTCTGCTCGGCCGAGCACGCTGGTGTTCAACTTAGCGCCGCTGCGACTTCGTGACAAATGTGGCTGCCGAGATGCTTAAATGTCAACAGTCAGAGGAGAAAATGAAGCTCTCTTTCAGTGCAAACAATAAAATAATCAGTCTCATTCACAAAGACTATAAATTGCTTTTATTTTGCCGCAGAAGATTCTTCGGTCTAACAGCAAGGCAGGATAACTTGTATAGATGTGATCTACGTGAAGAAACAGTTTGATTTATCTGTCATCCCGTGTGGTGGTGAGGGCAGCGTTTTATTTATTTATTTATTCATTTATTTTATCAGGGTTCCACAGAAAGGAATTTACGATGACTGCCAATGAAATACGGCTGGTTAGCTTCAGTGGAATCACTCCTGGCAGCTCTGAGAAAAGCAGATAAGTAGCACTTTGACAAGCTTTGATCAGAGGTACAGTTATTCTCAGAATGTCTGTGATGATAGAACAATGAGACGATGGTCTTGAAATTCACATGAATTTACTCCAGCTTTCCTTTTTTTCCTTCTTTTTTTCCTCGTTCTCACTCTGAATAAGAGCACTGTCTGAAGGATGAAGGTAGCCGACATGTCACAACTCAGCAGTATTTTGATTTCTTTATTTATTTTTGGTTTGGAGTGGAGAAAGGCGATATGTCGATGGCTGCTGTTGTGCTCTTGTGGATTTAGGCCGTCCATTCGTAAATGCTGTGGGTGCTGTGACTCATTGTGGTTTCTAATTTTTTTGTCAAGAGACAGCAAATTATTCAATGAGGCAACAGAGGGATCAGTGAGCTCCGTGCTGAGTCAGCTTTAGTGCGGTAGGTGTGGAGTCGCGAAGGGGAACGTTGGTGGGAAGAAGAAGAAGAAGAAGAAGAAGGCTGAGATGTAACCTCGTCACACAGAAGAAAGGTTCAGTTCATTGATACTTCAATGAAAAAGCCTCCAGACCGCAGCGCAGCTCTAAAGCAAACATAACTCCTACACCTGCATGAACTAAACACTGATGTGTCTTATGGGCCACCCACCTATAGGAAGGCAGAGGTGTTTGTGTGAGCGAGTCTTTGAAGGCCAAACAAGTCAAATGAGTCACTTTGTTCCTCACAAACACAGACGATTCTCGTGTTTTTACAGCGTAAGTGCTTCTTCTGCGGGTTTCACTTCCTCCTGGATCCTGCTCATCAACCCTGCGCTGATGTTGTTCTCCGAAAGGCTGAGATGCCTCAACGGGAACTGCGTCCGGCAGAGCAGCGCCCCCATGAGGTCGTTCCCCCCCACATCGCTGATGTCGTTCCTGTCGAGGTCCACTTGCTGCAGGCTGGCGTTTTCCTTCAGAGCGTCCGCCAGCAGCCGGACCCCGGGGTCGCCCAGGTTGTTCTCATCCAGAATGATCTGAGCCAGCGAGCTGTTCCCTTTCAGGCTGTCGAAAAGTTCCTTCCACGCCGCCAGATCGGCGCCGCCAGTCTGCGCCAGCCCGAGGTACCGCAGGTGGGAGTGGGATCTCATGTAGGACGCTAACACCTTGACCCCGTCGCCGCTCAGGCCGTTCCCACCGATGTCCAGCTCCAGAAGGGTGAAAACCCTGAAAGAGCTCCACCCGGGGGTCAGCTGCTGCAGTGCAGCCTGCTCTGATGGGACCAGCAGGGCCTGGTGGATGGCCACGGCAGCTTGGGCTGTTTGCTCCTGCAGCTCAGCCACTCCCGTCAGAAGGGTCAGGACTCCGTGGTCACGCAGTTTGTTTCCAAACAAGCTGCAGGAAGGGGAAAAAATGTGACAGAATTTTATTTTAAATTTACTTGTTCTTGTACATTCACTGCAAAAACAGTCCATCTAACCAAGTCTTACAATCTTATATCCTCCCAAAAAAATATTTGATTTTGTTTTGAGACTGATTCACTAAACAAGAACAGAGCGTGTAAGATTATTAATCTTGTTAGCCTGGAAATTTGTCTCAAATTAAAGGAAACTAGAAGCACTCGGAGAGTGCAAACCTCCGCCAAGACCAGTTTCCCCCATCCTGTAATAGAGTTACAAATGGGCACACCAGTACTGCAGTGCCACCTGTTGGACACTTAGAAACCCACGCCCTGTGAAAGCATCACAGCTTTGCCGATCTCAGAGTGTTAAAAGAAAAAAAAATTCCTGTATCCTCATCATGATCCGGAACATCACGAAAATTTAAGGTGTGTTACTTGAGCCAGCACCCACATGTGGTGAAAATGTCATGACAATCACACAAGTTTTTGAGTAATCTTGTCCAAAGACAGAACAACAGAATGACAGACCGACAGACAGAAGGACAGACATACGCGACCGAAAACATTACCTTGCCCTTGGCGGAAGTAATAATCTGCCAATGGAGTAAGACAATTGCACTTGGTGAGATTCTTGAAAAAATGAAAGATTCAGTCAAATTAAGGGATTTTAAGAATCTCACCAAGTGCAATTTTCTTACTCCAGGGCTATCCAACTGGTGGCCCACAGGCCACATACAGACCACGAGTGACCAAAGTTTGGTCCACCAATTGGTTCACTCACCTCTTAAGGTCAAACCCCCAGTTTTCTACTTTAATTGTTATAAGTTCTTTTAGACATAGACGTGGTATCTACAGAGAAGTTAAAATCTTGGCTAGAAGCTGGTAAAAAACATTTCTATGAACATCCAAGACAGTTAAAACTACAAGCAGTTGAAGAAAAAAACATGAAAGTGAAACTAAAATTGGTTTAAAATTTTGGCAAGTCAGAGATGTCAAAATATTTGTGTTAGACAGGACGCATAACGTGTTATTTTTGGTTTTGATATTGATATCACTACTTTTATTACACAGGGTTCTGCATGTTATATTCATGATTAAATGCAGCAATTAAACTAATTCAAAGGTAACAGATCTTTGTAATACTTGGTTTATTTACATAATAACTTTAATTGCTGGATGTTCGGCCCCTGTCTTGTTGACCTGCATTAACTGTGGCCCCCACAGCAATTTAGTTGAATAGCTCCATCTTAAACCATTAGCAGATTATTTCCCTTAATTTAAGTCAAAATTTCCAGGCTAAAAACATAAACAATCTTGCACATTCTGCTAATAATTTATTATTCTTACACATTCTGTTCTTGTTTAGTAAATCAGTCTCAAAACAAGGTCAAAAATATTTGGTTAGATGGGCAGTTTTTGCAGTGTATTTCATTGCAAGTGAGCTTAACAGATTTGCATTTATTTAAGTAATTCTGATTTAAAAATCGAATTGACTGCTGAGGCATTAACCCTGATATGTATAAAATTATTGTGGACAAATAAAATCAGAGGAGTTACCAGTCAGTCTTTCTTTACTATAAAACATTTCAAACTTCTAGGAGGTATTTTTTTAAATAAACGTTCGTGTTTTTCATGTTAGGTAGCACGACGGCTCAGTGGTTAGCACCGACGCCCCACAGCAAGAAGGTTCTGGGTTCAATCCCCGGTTTGGACCTGGGGTCGTTCTGTATGGAGTTCACATGTTCTCTTCGTGCTTGCGTGGGTTTTCTCCGTGTACTCCAGTTTCCCCCACAACACAAAACATGTACAATAGGTTGCCTTCAGGCCCAGGCTGCCCTTGAAAAACAGATCTGAGACTTGCCTGGTAAACTAACGGTTAATAAATAAATAAAATAAATAAGTTTAGCTTGCAGTTCTACGAGTGTTTCCAAGATTCTCTCTCATTTTTGCAGGAACAAAATTTCCATAAATGCATTTTGTCATCCTGCTTGTGTTTTGTGCATCGTTTATCACGTGTCATCCTACGTGAATTTAAAACTCTGGCAGGCCGTCCAGTTTCGTGCCACAGAGGAAAGCTCTTTAACACTGGATTTTGAGGAGAAAAAAGAAATAACTCAGAAGCACTGGAGGCATTTTACTTTGTTCTCATAAAAACGGTGGAATTAGTCGTTCAGCAGCGAAAAACTCTGATTTTTGGGTTGTAGTTTGATATTAAATCCCTTTTTTCATGTCCTCAGCTATATATTTTTCTTTCTTTAGCCATTAAACAAAATGGAAGCTGCTTCTGTGTGTGTCTGTGTGACATTAGGTGCATTTTGTGCATTCAGCTCTTCTTCCCCCTGAGGTTTTAGGGTTGATTCGGCTCATTAGAGCCCGAGACTTACTGTAGGCTTTGCACCAGCGGCTTCACTCGCAGGACGTCCAGCAGGATGTGAGCGCCGAAGGGGCCGATGAGGTTGAGGTTAAGGTTGAGCAGCGTGACTTCGGACGAGCTGCTCTTCAGGACCCCTGCCAGGCTCAGGAGAAGGTCGTCTGTCAGGCCCGTGTTCCTCAGAACCAGCTGCTCCACCTCATCGGACGTTTTCAACACTTTCATCATGGCGTCCAGCTGCAACCACAGAAATAAACTTATTTACCGTATTTATTCATATATAACATGATCTCATGTATAACACGACCCCCCTTCTTTTAGCTTAAAAAGCATAAAAAATTTAATCCTCAAACTACCTCCAATTTCATACAGACTTSAAGATTTTTCATCCTTTGCAGTCTTTATACATATCAGTAAAATGATCATTGGACTGTTCATTTTATTTTAACAACATATGTACTAAAAGGTATTTTGACAACAAATAAATATCAGCTGTAGCAGCATCATATGAATTCTGGCATTTTACACATAGTCCACCAGGAGGCGCCAACACAAAAGCCAGAGACTTCACATGAGATTTGGGCCATCTTCTGAGAGAAAAGCAGATTACTTCCTACTCGCGAGCGCCCCCTCTGATGGAGAAACATTTTTTCAGGGATACAAACTTTTTCAGAACACCGGTAGACGGCAGCCATTACAGACGAATATGTGTTTGTTGTTGTTTGAGGAGCGGTTCGGTCACACGCTAATGTCTTTAGTTTGGTGTCATTACTAAGGTGCAGGACTATTTTTCCCCCTTTTTTCACATCATGCCTCCTGCCTGGATCTGTCATTATCTCGCTCTGAAGAATGAAGGAGTGTCAGAGGTAAGGTCGTTTCAACTGCTTTTTACGACGCTGTCTCATTTCCAGACTCAGGCATTTTGTGAATCAAGCCGATATTTCAGTTAAAATACATAAGTAAAAATATTTATCCGAGTATAGTACTACCCCCACAACTTTGTGGAAGACTTTATGGATTTAATTTTACGTATTATACTTGAATAAATACGGTAGGTTTCTCTACGTTCTGTTGTTTGTCATCCACAACCAAACGACAAAGGTGGATGTGGTGGAACTAATACTTTTGTGTTTAAGCAAGTAATTCATGACATCCTTTAATGACCTAGGTTTTCATGACATGCTGTTCATCTGCAGAGAGAATGATTAAAGTCAGAACAAGATTTGCTAACAACAGTCATTCTTAGATATCACTTGTGTTTATCTTTGTGTTTTCCATTGACCTTGTATCAAATCTTGCTAAGATGACAGAATGGTGTTTGTTAATATATGAGGCCTATCGAAACAGTGTTCAACAGTAGTGTGGAGAGACAGTGACAGAGAGAAGCAGAGGCACAGAGACAGGCCAGGTTGTTGTCTGTGTTTCCTGHTGTTGCAATAAAACTCAGCTGATCATCTCACGGAGTACCTTCATTCTTGGACCACGTATTTCTGTCTTTGTTAAATAAATATTGCCATAACAGTTTGGCGTTGTCAGCAGAGACCACTAGGAGATTGACGGACCAAGGCCACATTGCTGGTGGACTGATATGAGTGAGCAAGGACTGGACTGCTCAGGACCGTGACTCCAGCTGGATGAAAAGAACCTTTTATGGTAAATTGTTTTTAACAATGGAGATACACTGGTGACGATTGTGATGGATGATCTTGAACAAGCAAAGAACATTGAATTTTTATTTTTGGCTGTTGAAGAACCTGAGAAGATTTTTGAAACAYCMTYTGCTGAGAGTGAGTACAGAACAGCTTCAAGATGCCTCCTTTCTTTTCCAAAGAGGTACAATGTTACCAATGTACCAAGTTCTGGTATCGATCACTATCGATCTGCACATCACTAATCTGTTAAAAAAATATATCTCATGAACCACTGAACAGTGTACACATATCAGTTTTGATGTGGTAGTAGCAGATACACAAGCAAGATGATGTCACAATATCACGAGATTTATCGTAAACAACTTCACAACGTTCAAAGTTCACAACAAAATGCATTCAACAGCTGAAAAGGTGGATTTTGCATGATACTGTATGTCCTCTTTAAATTTTTTTAAATAAAGGCTGGAAGCAATATGCATTTCATCAAGCTAAGCTGGACTTTTAGTTTAGTTGTTAGTTTTGAGACACTTTCAGGTTCAAAAGTTGAAAAATATCCCCAAAGTGTCAGAACCCAACAGGACCGTGCATTTTAAAGTTTATCCACTGAGCTTTAGGAATATTTCATGAAGTCACGAGTTGTAAAACAATGACATGTACATTTGAACCATATAATGTTTACATATTTATAGCTTTCTTTGTTTTGCTGATTCTGCTGGGAAATTATACAGTGCATGGGCTCCAAACAACAGAAAACTGATGAAGAAAGAGTCTGTTGTGCAGACGGATCGTCTTTTCCTTCACACAGAAAGGTTTTCAGCATTCGGACCATGCGAGTGCAGAACTAACATTAAGTATTTACTGTTTTCTGCATGGGAGAGCAGCACGGTTTCAAATTCTTATGATGGCTGGGAAAAAGAGACGTGAGCAGGGAAGGTGCCGGAGGTTTTATACTCGGAGATGAAAGTCCAGAGAGAGACGTACAACCTGGCTGTCAGCCGCCCTCACTCTGCCACTTTGCTGCACCTTAAGGAATGTCTCAGCTACTCTTGGAAGCTTTTTCATCATGATGGGTACGACGGAGCCAAACACCTGCCAGCCCCAGATAAACCTCAACAACCATTTGTTGCAACCGTCTGTGCATTAAACTTTCAAACACCAAAATCAGTCTTTAGAATGGACTAAATCTGTTGTAAAACGTACAGGCTTTTAATTTCACTGAATAATTAAAAAATGTTGACATTTGTTCAACTGTGAAAGTTCTGTTTTTTCATACATTTTTTAAGAGTTCAAACAAACCTGATTTACTCCTGTATAATTCTAAACATTTGATGTGCCTTTATAGAGGTGCACAAAGTGGGGCACACGGGCCAGAATTGGCCCACCAAGTTGTTTGATTTGGCCTGCCAGCAGTTGCCATTTTTACTAGATTGCAATCTCTTGTCATCTTATGTAGAAACACCGTATTTCTGCCACTCTGTCCCTTGGCTCAATAAGGTGGTGTTGAGGAGATACACTCAAAAAACAGATGTGTTGGATTGTCATATTTTCTTTAAAAATAAATATGAAAGTTGCTTCACATTTACGCATCTCAGTTGAGTGGTGCCTCTTGACATTTATTTTAGTGTAGTCTTGTCTCTTGGCTCTTACTTTATCCTTGATTATATTAAGATTAAACACAAAATACAAATAACCACAAGAAACATTTAGACAGTGTTGTTTAAAGTACCACAAAGTGATACTTGAGTAGAAGTACAAGTATCTTACAGAAAAATTGCTTTGGTAAACGTTAAAGTCTCCTTTAGGAATATTACTTGAGTAAAAGTCTTAAAGTATCTGATATTTTTTGTACTTAAGTATTAAAAGTAGAAGTATTGATTTCAAATGAGCAGTTCGATTTTCTGTAAGGACATTTATTAGGAAGTGACCTCACCCAAAAAAATGCAGAAATGACTATGTGGTATAATAATGGATAATAATGTTTAATTTATGTTAAACTTTGGTGGTCCAGTTTTGGCCCACTTTAGGCACCTCTGATGTGTATATACACTCACCGGCCACTTTATTAGGTACACCTGTCCAACTGCTCGTTAACACTTAATTTCTAATCAGCCAATCACATGGCGGCAAC